ACATCTTCAGAATCACTGGGCCAATTTTTCTTAAACTTGACAGAAAATGTCCTTGGGTGAAGAGGATTCAAAGTTTCACAAAGAATTTGTTTAAATGAAAGCCCACACTTTGAAAGGGTAGGTAATCAAGCTTCCTGACAAAGTGTAGGTGCAAGTTAGTCCAAAGCATGACCCCCATGTAGGATTGGGCCACAATAGAGGATGAAAGTTTTACATGAGAATATATATAGGGGGAAAATGTTTTAAAATCTTACATGGTATGGTCAAGATTAGTCATATTTAAAGGTTAGCATCCTAAGGTACTGTAGATTCATATTTGTTCAAGTCCAGGCCCACGGTGTAAGATGGAGTACAGCATGATCAAGATGACTCAGGTGAGTGTTGTGGCCCATGGGCCTCTTTTATGTTTAACGCCGAGTAGGCAATATTTCAGCCATATATCGGCGGAACTCTTTCATGAACTAGATATTATATATATATATATATATATATATATATATATATATATATATATATATATATATATATATATATATATATATATATATATATATATATATATATGAAATATATGGAGATAACGAACAGTATTCAAGCTCAAAAGTCCATTAAACAATACAAAATAGGAGCAGAGCAAACACGGACCTCTAAACATCAGAGGTGGGATCAGGTGCCATGGAGGAGTGAGCATCCCCTACCGACCGGTCACACCCGCCGTGTGCTCCTTGTCATGATCGGGAAATATCGGAAAAATCCGTCGACAATTCAGTGTGTAAATAATGGCCTAACAATTAGTATGAAAAACGTCAGTCAGCATTTGACTCAATGATAAATTGTATTTGCTGACAAGGTCATTGTATCGACCATAGAACTTACGAAATGATGACTTTAAACGAGACAGCTGATATTCTTGTTTCATCAACTTGTTTGTCAATAATTTACCTCGTTTTAGAAATTATATATATATCAGGGATGGGGTAACTGAAAAAAGTAATTGTAATTGACTGTAATTAATTACATTTTTTGAAGTAATTGGAAGTAATTTGTAATTGAACATTTTTTTCAATTACTTGTAATAGTAATTTTATTAATTACACTGAAAAAAATACCATGTAATTTCAATTACTTTTTCAATTACATTCAATTACTTTATATAATACACATTCATGATGTATTCATGATATATCATCACCACTACCTCCCCATTTTACTGGTTTTTATTTTATTGTTAAACATATCCCAATCCTTCAATTATACAAAATCTTAGCTTAATGCTTGTAAACAAAAAAAAACTAATTAAATAAATTGGCTTGATAATAATAAACTAGTTTCTTTCTAATAATTATGTAAATTTCGAATTTTTTGATCTATGTTTATAAATATGAATTTTGAACCACCCTTCTTAGCTCTATTCAGCTATGAAACACACATTTATTATATTTCAATCTTTGTTGTTTGATCAATAATAAAGAAAAAGAAGGTGTGTGTCATTAATTAAGTTCTCTCTTGTTGGGAAGAGATAATTGCCCTCCAGATCACAGCTTTAAATTGCAATCAAAACAAAGCAACTCCTCTAAAGAGATATTCATTCCATGATTTAGAAAACAAAGCCAGATATTTATTGGAGATAATTATTTCAATTTAAAATGCTCTGCTAGTTTTAGAAAAGAAAAACTTTCAATTTGATAACTATTTTAACATCTAAAAAGATTTTTATGAATTTTCTATCTGTACAATTCTGATTTATGAAGAAAAACTTTCAATTTGATAACTATTTTAACATCTAAAAAGATTTTTATGAATTTTCTATCTGTACAATTCTGATTTATGAAGTAAAATTGTTCAACATAAATAGCAATTTAGGATGTTTAGGTTACCTTCAAAGGAAATATTTAATTTGAGGGTTACAGTTGCGACTCATTTCACTCTATTAAAATACTCACTTTTAATCAAATATCATAAGCCATGCAATTTGCGTATGGTTTTGTGTGCTGGAAACTGCATCAAACTGATCTCGGATAGTTCTTTAAGAGATTCTTATTGTTTTGTAAATAAATGTTATAAATTAAACAGAATGATACACAATGCCTAGAGCATATTATTTCTTGTACTGTTTGTGCAGAGGCTGAGCTTACATACAAATAAATGATGTTCTGTACATTCATTGACAAGGATTATAAAAATTTTCAAAAAATTTAAAATGTATTTGTAATTTAATTAATTACTTTTGCAAAGCAATTGTAATTTAATTAATTACATGTCTTAGAAAGCCTGTAATTTAATTGAAGAAAAAGTCAAAGTAATTGTAATTTAATTAATTACTTTTTAAAGTAACTGACCCCATCCCTGATATATATATATATATATATATATATATATATATATATATATATATATATATATATATATATATATATATATATATATATATATATATATATATAATTAATTAATTAATTTAACGTTAGCTGTAACACGTCAATTGATTGGATAAAGATTTCGTTTATATCGTATTACATAAGTTGCCTACGTCACAATGAGTTACGTCAAAAACTTGTTACTCCGCTTGACGTAACTTTTAAAATATTCTCAATTTGAAGCCATTTTTGGAGGAAAAATTGGCAGTTTACGCTTTTTTTTTATAAACCGCTTAGCGGTTTATAAACCGTAAACTGCCCCATCTTATGGTATCTCGTATATATAACACAGGCTAAAATAAGCTTCATTCCTTAAATAAATAAATAAATAAATAAATAAATAAATAAATATATATATATATATATATATATATATATATATATATATATATATATATATATATATATATATATATATATATATATATATATATATATATATATATATATATATAATATGATTGAATAATTCCCATCTCTCTGATTGGCTGAGAACCAACAATACTACGTTACATGTATATTGACCTGCACCTGACCTTCCAGGTCAATATAAGGAATTATTTTTTCTACATTGGACCAAAAATAGATAGGGAAATTCCAAATTGATGCAAATAGTTTTGGAAAGTTATTTCACTTGCACCTGACTTCCACTCATATGAATATAACATTAAGGCACATAGATTCTTTGGTGAGGGTTGGGGTTGGGGGGTGCAGGAGGCCTGCCCATCTCCCTACCTTTTGAGAATGTAAAGTTTTTATTTAAATTTTAAGGATAAAAATTTTCAATGAAAGCCCCCTTCCCTCTTTTATGGACCTTTACATCCCACCAAATAAAATTTTGAGTTGTGAGAATTCTTTTCCTTTTCTTGGGGGGGGGGGGGGTTGAGGAGGGGCTAGTCAAAGATTTCTTTTCAGGTAAGTTGTCATTTTTTTCTTTTAATGCCCCCTTTTTCAGAATCAATCCTATATATGCCTGACATTTATTTTTTCTACATTGCACCTAAACTAGAATTGGTTTTTAACCCCGTTTCTCTCATTATGTTTGGCTAGTCCTTCAGTAGATGTGAACATGCAAGTAAGATGGCATGGATTGCTTATGAGTGTGTGTCATTTAATCATTGAATCATATAATAAAACAATTATTGCTGTTTTTTCAGTCAATACAATGATTTAGCCACCTTCGAAGTACCTTCGGGCTCGGTGAATATTGTACTCCTCAGGTGTCTAAATCATTGTATTGACCTCAAAAACCAGCAATAATTCTATATATATATATATATTTGTGTGTGTGTGTTTCTGTGTGTACATCATTAAAATAATCTATTGTACTATAACCTTCTAAAAGTTTTGGATTTGTAATTAAAAATTAGACATATGGTTCTTGACAAGAATTTCATTTTATTTTAGTTTATTTTGAGCCAGTGCCCTTGGAAGTACAATTTTATAGTCAGGACACAGTGCCTAGGATTAGAGTGAGAAGCTGTGTGAATATGCGAAAACAGGCAATGGATTTTATTTAATATACCCCTCTCACTTGAAAAGCAGGGTGGGGGTATATATATTGACGAGGGTTTCCGTCCTTTCGTCTTTACATCCTTCTCGCAACTCCTAGCTCTTATATCACTAAATAAAATTGAATGAGACTCAGAGTCTTCATTACCACATAGTCCCATTGTGCACTTTCTATTTTACGTTTTAATTAGACAGATATTTGGGATTTACCACTGCCATTATTTCTATGATAATGAGGGTGCCCATCTCTTAGAAATAACTCCTCCTATACTACTGGATAAAATTTAATGAGACTTTCACAGAATCATTATTACACAGTGCTATATGCATTTCTTATTTCATATTCTGATCAGACAGAAATTGGGGGTTACAATAGCAAACAATGAACACTTCCATTTATTCTATAACATAGCGGGTACCCTATCCGTTCTCCTATACCACTGAATAAAATTTAATGATACTTTCGCATAATCTTTAATAATTTGTTACACAGTGCAAAGATTAAAATTGTGCACCTCCTTGCTGCCACCCGGTAAATTCAAAATTTACATGACAATTGATATGGGAGCGGGGGATATCATTTGTGAGCTCAGTACTCACAGTACCTCTACGTCTTATTAATGTACTGAAATAGAAATTGCAGAAATGTCAGAAAGAATACATGTATATGTCGACAGTTTTTTTTTTAGTTGGATTAGTCAAAAATCTGTCTCGTGAGCTATAGATCATTGTTTGTTTTTTGTTTTAAAAAAGGATGTCGTAAATTTTTAATTAATGGATTTACTTATATTTCACTACATCTGTAATTGCCATATCGACCATATATCCAAACATATGTCCATATCTTGCAGGAGCCTAAGCAAACCTCATTGATGAATTAAATCAATAATTCATGCTGCACATATTATTTTTGCTTCACCGTTAAACAGGCTTTCAATAAATAAATCGAATACAAATCAAACAAGACTTCCTTACGGAAGCAGGAGAAGATTGTAAATTTCCTGCTATGTTACAAGTACATGTAGTTCCCAAGGGTTTAAAGGTACAGTGTTCACAGCAAATCGGAGTTTTAAATTGTAACATTTGGTTCTATGCAAGTCCAGCAATTCGAGGAGATGGTATAATTATCGGTGGTTTAAATGGATGAATTGAAAAGAGTCTAGGTTACTTGGGATTTTGTCTTCTCAAATTACACAAAACAGAGATAATGGTAGTTCTATATAATTGTGTGTCCGAGTAATCGTATGTGTGATCTTTGTTTAAACAACAATGGATCTGCCTCTGTTTACGAAATTATTGAAGCAAAATTGGCTGTTCTTTCTCTGTACAGCAGGCGTTATGAATTTTACTGGTAAGTCAACCATAGATGTATATCGGTTTTTAGAACATTTAAATATACATTGTATCACTATTTAATTTAGAAAAAATGATTAAAGTTCTAACAGAGTAATTTTTTTAATGAGATCCACCTGCATGCATGGATGATCTAAACTGTTAAAATATATCAATAGGAATCTTTTAGAAAAAAAAGGTTTTATATCTATACGTTTATTACCTCTTTGACAAACATGTGCATGTAGTATATAGCCATTTTTTTAATGGTGCGTTACAATTAATGATATCTATAAAATGTCTTAGTGTACAGCAACCAAAACTTCTACCATAAAGTATGGAACGCCATAGCTGCCTGAAGGTCACTTTCATATTATATGAGGTGGTATAACCTTTATATGCAGTGGTGAAGTCATTATATATAGCACAGGCACTTGTTTCGGTAATAAATTTTTAACCCATAGTATAATAATAACACAAGGTATCTAACTCCGAATTACACTGAGTACCCTCCTCCCCCAGAATCGCACTCATTTACACTTTCAGAGGAAATACACTGACAAACTGTTTATACCTATGTTTTCTACGATAATTTATCTACACAACCATATATGGCATGCTTGTCTTTATTTTCTTTAGTCTCCGTAAATAGCGTCAAAACTCTGCTCGTCGAGTGGAAAAGTCGAATTCAACCATGAAATGGTATGTGCTAATCCCGCACAGAGATTTTGATTGGCTAAAAATCTGTTTCTAAAATTACATCGGATAAACATCGTAATGTTTTCAGGGAAAATCAGACGTAAACAAGTTCTATTTACTTATGCAATATTTAAACACTGGAATTGAATTTTTAAACCCACTCATTTTTTAATTCTGTTCTCTATGCGGGATTAGCACATACCATTTCATGGTTGAATTCGACTTTTCCACACGACGAGCAGAGTGTGACGCTGTTTACGGAGACTAAAGAAAAATAAAGACAAGCATCCATATATGGTTGTGTAGATAAATTATCGTAGAAAACATAGGTATAAACAGTTTGTCAGTGTATTTCCTCTGAAAGTGTAAATGAGTGCGATTCTGGGGGAGGGGGGTACTCCGTGTAATTCGGAGTTAGATACCTTGTGTTATTATTATACTAAGGGTTAAAAATTTATTACCGAAACAAGTGCCTGTGATATATAGTGGTAAAATCATTATATCCAGTGATAACTTTATTATATGCAGTGGTTTTATCATTATATACAGTGACAATGTCATTATATGTAGTGGTTAAATAATGTAATGAAGTGATAATATCGTTACATTATGCTGTAAAATCATTATATGTAGTGGTTATTCCATTATATACATTAATGAAATCTTTATATGATGTGATAATTTAATATATACATTTATAAACATAGTTGTGTTATAGTGCAATCATTACATTATATGAAACACGCTGCATGTGCAGTGCCAAGTTCATTTCATTCAGTGCGACATCTTTACATGAAGTGAAAATTTTGTTATGTGAAGTACTAACATCATTATATTTTAAAGTAAAATTATTATATATATTTTAAAACCATGCTATGCAGTGGTAACATCTTTATATGAGGTGGTTAATAATTATATGTCGTTGTTAATTCGTTATATGAAGTGGTCAATTCTTTATATGCTTTAGTCGTTTCATGTTATGCAGTGGTAACTTCTTTATCATCATCTAAACTGGTCCTCTTAAGGAGTAAAAACCGCGCGGAGTTCCAGTTTAAAGCGGGTATTGATAAAACCCGGAAACGGCAAATATGATACATGTACCAATTTAAATTCCTTGAAAATATATAAATTATACCAGAAACGATGTACATTATGTAGGTTGTTCATATTAAACCTCGATTATAAAGAAAGCGTTGATTTATTCATGTTTATTCTCAAAGGAAGATTCCTGTACAAAAGCAAAGCATAGTGTACAGGAAACATAAAATGTAATGCCGTACACATGGTATATGTAATATATAGAGTATCTTTTAACGAGTGTATCTTCAGATATCAGACGAGGGGGCTTGTCCCCCGAGTCTGATATCTGAAGATGCACTCGTTAAAAGGTACTCTATATGTTTTGTATCATTGTTCTCATGCACTGAGTTACCCATGATTTATCAATTTCACGTTAATAGCATGTAATTCGACTATATTCTCATGCACTGAATTAGCCATGATCTATCAAAATTTCATCATACCATTTTATATAACCAATGAAAAAAGAGCACGTGATTCGAAAAGTATAGCGCGCTGTATTTCTTGAACTTTCTACCTCGTCCATTCATATCTTGAACGCCATGTTCAGATGACGGTTGTGATTTTATGCTTGCGCAATTCTTATAGACACGGAAACCGAAATTATGAAGGAGTATTACTTAGATCAGTTAGGAAACCAGATGCAGGTTGAAGATTCTTTGGGATGATGTTTGATCTACCGGAACTAATAATTGAACCTATTATTTATGGATTTCGATATAGGAGCTATTTTAGACATGATGACGTTTATTTCACCAGTCCCGAGGTCGACAGTCGACACGAAGGCGAAAAATGAAAGGTTTGTACAAGTGTCCGATCTTGAAATTCAGTGTTCGATAGACTCTAAAAAATATCAACACTCGTAAATATACCAAATGGCAATTTAAACGTTCAGGCTAATCAAGGAGTAGCGTGCGGCACAGGAAAATGTCCACTTTTGACCGAGATGAACAGCAATTCTCTAAATTACTGGATGCAGCGATTTGTGTTGGAATAAGAAAACAAGGAATATCCACCTCGCTTCCTGTACTACATTGTGTGTGGTTTGTTACGCTTCAAGGTTTATGAGAGATGAAAAAGTTCATTTATAAATAAAAATGTGCGTGTGTGAATTCCAATTTTGGATTTAAAAAATTGACGTGCAAAATTTATATGTGTTTGTATTTTGCTTATAAAGTCAGCTACTTTGTTTATATTCTTTTTCTTTATCAATGTAAGGTCAAGGGTCATTGGAATTGTTGCATCATTACCCTGGCGTGCTCTGTCTTGATAGAGCATGGTTGTTAGAGCACAGTTAGTCATGGTGTATCAAAAATAAAAACACAGTCGACATCAAAGGAAAAACACCGCAGCAATGATACAAACATGTATGTAGAACATTGTGGTAAAATATGGGTGAAGTAACTTTACAAAAGACCACTTTGATCAACATGAATAGCCAGTATTCGATATATATATGAGCGAACACAACATAATTTTCGATGCACAGGCATCTATAAAGCTTGATTAACCATGACATCATACAACTCTGCATCCCCCACCCCCGTATTGGCCAAATTGTAAAACTGGAAAACAACACAAACCGATTGCACAGAATAACATTAAGATTGCTATGATGGAGAAATCACTCATTTTCCAGAAATGCACTCACGTAATTTATTTGTTAGGGAGGGGGATGATGCATAGATGTACTTTGTCCACGCTTAAAGTGCCTGACGGTAGATAACGCGAATCCAGGATATTTTTCTCAACCCTATCTCGAACCCCCCTCTAGATCCGATCATGCCTGTAGTTGTAATAAGCGTGTCCTCTATTCTTTCCTTAATTCCAGTGATCATTGTCTAGAACACAAATTTGTACATAATTATTCTCTCCCCCACCCCTCCACCTGTTTTAAAACATCATTGCCTGTTTCATAATAATTGGTCAAAAAAGAGAGCATAATTGTCATTTTGATTAAGCTTTAAAAATAATATTTAGACGAGTGATGAATGAGGCATCAAGATAGATACATGTACTTGGTCTGTATATCTAATTAGTATGTAATTGATTGACCACCGCATGCATACATTAAATATAGTCCTGGGGGGGGGGGGGGAGGAGAGAGTTGGGTCATGAATAAATTACATTGTTGTGTTATTTTTTCTAATAGGATATAAACAGTTTGATAAAGATTACTGGTTACTGTCTGATTTATATATGCGTGTAGTAAATAATTTGAAATAAAATTTTCCGTTCCACCATTCCGCTTTCCGTTCCGTTGTCCAATTTGCGTTTTATCAACACTCGCTTTAAACTGGATCTCTGTGTTTTTTTACTGTTTAAAAGGACCAGTTTAGATGATGATAAAGAAGTTACCACTGCATAACATGAAACGACTAAAGCATATAAAGAATTGACCACTTCATATAACGAATTAACAACGACTAATAATTATTAACAACCTCATATAAAAATGTTACCACTGCATAGCATGGTTTTAAAACATATATAATAATTTTACGTTATAATATAATGATGTTAGTACTGTACATAATAAATTTTTCAATTCATGTAAAGATATCGCACTGAATGAAATGAACTTGGCACTGCACATACATTGTGTTTCACACAAACTATGTTTATATCTGTATATATTGAACTTATCACATCATATAAAGATTTCATTAATGTATATAATGGAATAACCATTGCATATAATGATTTTACAGCATAATGTAACGATATTATCACTTCATTACATTATTTAACCACTACATATAATGGCGTTGCCACTGTATATAATGATAGAACCACTGCATAAAATAAAATTATCACTGGATATAATGATTTTACCAATATATATTATGACTTCACCACTGCATATAAAGGTTATACCACCTCATATAATATGAAAGTGACCTTCAGGCAGCTATGGCGTTCCATAATATGTAAAGAAGAATATTATTAACTGTTACATTAATTATTAGATAACTGTTTCTGATAAGATTCCGATCTTAAAATTGATTACAATGTTTGATCCAACATGATAATAAATGTCTTTCGGTCATCCTTAAATAGTCTATTTTCTGCATCGATTGTTTTTAAGTACATCTAACTACAACACGGACAAAAAGGATATATATATATATATATATATATATATATATATATATATATATATATATATATATATATATATATATATATATATATATATATTTCTACTATATATGAGGTTTTAAACAGATAGTTTTAGTGTGAATCTCATGAAATCCCCCCCCCCCCCCCACCAGTACTTAAGTTTAAAAATGAAACTTTTAATAAGCTGTATCAACACAATCTTTCTTATGAAGAGTATATTTTGTTAGAAGCTTTAATTTGGTACGTAATGCATTGTCAATGGTCTTTAATTTTAGACGGAAATGGGGAACCTTGCGGGACTATTGACAATGGGGCTCAGTTGTATTGTCCGAACAAGTATCACTGCTGTAACACTGCGGTCCACTCATGTTGTGAGGATGGCTACACTTGTCATGGATCCACCTGTATAAGCTACATTGCGTACGTTTTTACTCATACCTGGTTTATACTTGATATCATTTTAATTTATTTTGCTCATACGTGCTTCAATATTTTATGCTCTTAATCGCTATTATGCTAATATTCGGTGTTAGAATAATGCACATAACTGATATTAATTTCAGGCGCGGATCCAGGAACTTTTTCCAAGGGGGGGGGGGTGTCCATCCGAGTCAAAAAAAAATCTTACCCAAAAATTTCTTGACAAGCAAAGGTAAAATCCACTTTCCAAACGTGAAAAACCCCTATTTCGTCGTGGTGATGGTGGGGTCCACGTTTTCTAAAGGGGGGGGGTCCAAAGTCATTTTTTATTTGCTTTAGTATATACTTTTTATAACTCTGCAAATTCCAGGGGGGTCCTGACCCCCCCCCCCCACGACCATCCTCTAGACCCGCGCATGAATTTTATTTAAGGAATTAATTTAATAGCTACCCATTTTATACCGGCGGTATAAACTGGGTTGGGGCAGTTTACGCTTTATAAACCGCGTAAACTGTCCCAACTCAGTTTATACCGTATAAATTGGGTAGCTATTAAATTCATTCCTTATAATTTAATTTTCATTCATTTGGTGTAAGAAAAAAGATGATTGTCCTTAAAAAATGACCTCAATTTGTATAAAATTTGAATGTAACGTCAGGCGGATCGATACGTTTTTGACGCAAGTCATTGTGACGTAGGCAACCCATTTTATACGATATAAAATAAATTTTTTATCCAATCAAAGACAGCGTTACAACCAGATTTATTATTCACAAATGTCATTATTTGTCGGTGAGGTGGCTGATGAATGTATACTAATTTAGAATTTTTTGAACTTGTGCGTTTTTTGGTTAATTAATCAAATGATATAACGATCCGGTTATTTCTTGCAGATTAATCGTGATACCTGGTGTTATCTCATTTGTTATCATCATCACTGTCATTGCTAAACTCGTCAAGAAAAGTAAGTATGAATAAATATTTTAACAAACCAGATCCATATTATTAATATTATGATATTTATCATTGCATGAAATTATTGTCAACTTCTGCTGCATCTTGATAGACAATGGTTTGATCGGGGGTTAAATTTTTTGCTGCTACTCTCAACTTCATGCAATAATATATAATTGTATTTGTTTTCACCCAAACGGTGAACCGTAAGCGCATACATTCCCCTGTTTTTGAGTAAAGTTTTCCAGTCTAGATAAAATCACCCTGGAGGACGTGTAGGTAGTAAAATGTTTTTTTTCAAAGGTTTCTCTACCAATTAAACTCAACTAATTTGCATGGAAGTACAATAAAGCAGTCACAAAAATGTTACATTTCTGAAGACCACCTTTCCCAGTTTTTCCTGCAGTATACCTCTAAAAAACTTGATACTTTGATAAATAAGTGTACCTTAGGATATTAAAACTGTAAATTATTTCAACATTGACACAGCCTGGTTTTATCACAGAAAATATTTTTTTCATGATAATTACATGAAGTAACGGAGTAGCTTGTGTTTTAAACGACCAGATACATGTATATATACATGTACATATTGTACATACGCAAGTGTAGGTTTGTAGATCTGTTCATATTGATATAGAATTATAACCTATATATGGGTTTGTCTGTTAAATAACGTACAGCTTAAGTTGATCTATTCTATGCATTTGTTTTACAATCACCATGGATTGCCCTGTTATAGTTTTTTATATTTTGTCTTGTCCAAATAATCAAATTGTTTAGAAACTTTAGAATAATCGATTGACATATAACCAAATACTTTTCATCGGAATGCTGCAAATAAAAAATTCATGTAGAGAGTATCATGTTGTAATTTTTAAATGTAAACCCAGTAAATTCAATATTTACAACATGATAAAAGTATACATGCACATGCACCTTGATTTGAATGAATATAGAAATAAAATCTTCTGTACCTACCTACCTACCTAGTCCTTGTTGCACCCGGAGGCACATAGAGCAAGGGAAAAAAAATCTTCTGTAATGACATACTCAATTGAATAATGAAAAGCGACATCTCCAAAACGCTTAATTTGTAGCGACAATAGCAAATTTCCCAATTCCTGTATACATATCACGACACGAAATACCATGCAAGGATTATTTATGGTCGAATGGATGACGAATCAACACCCTACCCGCATTCTTTGTGTTAAGTAGCAGCAAACGAATCAAAGTAGTCATAGTACTGTAAGCCGGGCTCAAATAAAAATATGCTAATAAAATAAGGACCTCAGTGACATATATGAAAAGAAATCAAAAAAAATACTTTTGAAAATTATATTTTAAAAAAATCAGTGTAAATGTAAATGATACACCAAATTTATAATGGGGACCCTATACCACGGACCGAATTAATCAGGGCCAGAGATAATCTCGCACCGCCGAAGGTAAATAAACGGACCAGTCTGGTTTCCTGCCCTGTTTGTCTTCGTCCAATCTCCCTTGCAGAGTTGTCGTTCGTTTCTCTCTCAGAATGTATGAGCCGATGGTAGAGAGTGGTCTTCGTCTTGTAGAGAACTAGGCTACGACAACAACCATAAACATATGAATTGAGCTGTTTTACATTACCATTGATGTTTGCTTGTGTAGAAAAATCTCCATTTCATTTTTGTTGGTATATTTAGCGTTTGTATTATCTCAAAAAGCGGTTAAAAACAAGTACAATACTTTTACTCGTAAATTTATTTTGGCGGCTGTGTGCGGTCAACGTCCTGCCTGAACAGGCTGACAATAGCTGGCAATTGCTATTTGAGCAATGAGCCAGCTAAAAACTACTGATGCTGAAAATTTACGTTCATATTTCATCGTATATTAACAATTAAAATGGAATTACATTCTGTACTAACCAATGTGCGAAGAAACAAAATTCGTAGAGCACATCCTTTAAACTTGTTGGCAAACTTCATACTTTCAATTTTACCCAATCCCAGCCAAAGAAAGACGGGGTATGTGTACATGTACAAGCACGTAGTATCACGTTTTTTTTTAACGTGGGAGGATAATTGAGAAGATACCCGAAAAAATTAGAAAAGAAAAAAAGGTGGTCTAGGGATTGCCTAAAGTCGAAAAAAAAATCTATTCGGGGGGGGGGGGGGTTAGCTACCAAGACAAATAAAATTAGATACTTTTTCGTTTGTGTGAGAGGATTTGACCGCGCAGCAATTAAAAAAAGGGGATGTCAATGAACATTTACATACTACATTGATGAACATTTACTAAGTGCAAGTAAAATTACAACAACTGATTAGTATGTTGTAAGGACTTGTTTTCGGATTCTGCTTGTAATATTTATTGTATATCAATATCATAATTATTTATCCCAATGAAATAAAATTTGAACTGTAGGATAACAGTCATTTTCATTAATAATGTGTGTTTTATTGTAGGAAACGTATTATATACAAGTGTTGGTCGACCCGGACTCACCACAGTGGAGTATTCGGGAAATCTCCCTCCATATTACTATTGTCAACCAGAGTCTTGTTCTTTTCTTCGATATTTTTACTCAGTAATAAAAACAGGAATCATTAATTTTAAGAACAAAAATATTTTAGGAAAATATAGAACACGAGTGCTAAATAAAGCAAGCTGGATTAATACAAACCGTTGAACAGTCTTGAAGAAGAATTGTATCGACCTGAAATTAGGCAGCTGTTCTCCGCTACTAACACTCTTAGTGTCATTTCCAGAATAATCTTGTTCAACAAATGATTACATGAACAGCTACTCGACATAAGTATAGTTAACTTTTAAATGAGTTTTAATATATCCAACATATTTTGATATGTTGTATATCAAGGATTTGTCGAAATATATCACCTGTCCTCATTGTATTATGAATATATTTCAACTTTCAAATCTCAAACCCTCAAATAATGTTTTACGAGATCAGGTAAGTACATGTATAGGATATTGAGAGAAGATCTGTAAAATGCAATATTTGCATATGCTCCGTCATTCCCCTTTATGAACCTGTACCCAGCAGTTGCATATAACTCCTTGAATGCAGCTAGCGGATTACTTCATTGGCAATTTTGTACATTCTTTTATACAGCCTATTTCATTTTACATTTTTGTCACAAAGTATGATAAATATATATTTGGTATTAAAATTGGTCACTCCTTATAACTGATCAGTTGTGTGTTAAAGAAACTAACGAAAACTATGTAGATGTATATACATATGTATCTATCTGTATACATAAATATTGTGATATTATGTTTACATGAAAATAAAATAATTATGCAAAATTCTATGATTTTCTTTGTAAATCTTTTCTTTCAAGTTAATATAAAGAATATAAGAGACCTCTTTCAAATGTGTCAAATAAAACTATAGTATGCAATATTTTTATTGTTTGATTACAATTGTTACAGATGTAATTGACTTCAGTAAATATGTTTATTACATTTTCAACAGTGAAATGCTGTAATTTATTTACTGAATAAAAGTGATATTCTGACACAGTGTGAAAGGATATCAAAATGGTATTCTCACAGTGTGAGAATATCAGAAGTGCGGCAAAACTTACGATTTTTCCTTCCCTTCATGAAGAGTGTTTTTTTTTTTTTTTTTTTTAAATCCCTTGCCTTTTATCCTGACAGAGACAAATACCGGGTAGTTATACTGCCAAAGTTTTTCCAAATATGTCATTAAAAATACATGTTTACTCGCAACCGCTTACCTATGACGTCTAAACCGCTCAACTATATGACGTCACAGCCTATGACACTGTGTTACGAAAAGACAGAGCAAAGGGAAAATCTAAGAAAATGTAATAAACAGAAAATTCAATGTTTTGTAGATGAATATGGAATATATTTCACTCTGAGACAGGATTTTTTGATATTTTCATTCGTGCTTCGCACTTGTGAAAATATCAAAAAATCCTGTCCCACTCGTGAAGTAAATTCCATATTCATCTACAAAACATTGAATACTCCTATGTATGTTGGTAAACTTTTCCTGAGTACCATTAGATTTGGTGCCGAGCGAAGCGAGGGACCAAATCGAATTGCGAGGGAAAAGTTTGACAACATACTTAGTACATGTTTTACACGAGAAATTAACACTTTGTGTCTCTATCTATTTCATTACAACAATAGTGTGTTTCTTGTTATTTAAGGTACTCCGATCCTCAGGTTCTGAAAAATCAGCATTTAAGTAATTGACAATGCTCCCAAAACGTCTTGAATTCACAAAGTAATGTGTTTTACCCATGATATTTCTTCGAAGTTCATTATTATAGTTAATCATATTATATAGGGAAATTTGTCAAATCTCCAATATATTTTCAGGAAATGTAACTGAAAACACCAGCTATGCATTTTCTAACTGCAAATTGATCGAAAAATTAAAAAAAAAACTACTAGAGGTATCCAGGCATTCCGAGAAAATTCCAAATTTTATCAGACGTTAAAATGATATTCTTTTAAATGAAATTGATTTTATAAAAGGACAAAGGAGCAAAGATTACGTTGAATTGTGACGTAATAAGCATGATGAAACTATTTAAATGATCGCTTTAAAACATTGCATTTTGTTTCAAGAAAATACGTTACGATGCCTAAACGTATAGCATTATCGTGATTTACTCTTTCTTAAACGTTGTGATGGTGCTGTTGACTTTCCAAGTATGATTAGCCAATGGATTGAATTCAAACCGTTATCCTTAAAATCTTCACACGTAAACGTTAATTTTTTAAATCATTATTTAAGAAATAAATAACAAGTTTAAAAACTTCAATGGGAATTGAAGTGGGTCGGTCACGTGATCAAATCCTGTGAAGGCCGAAGGCCTTCTCAGAAGATTTGATCACGTACCGACCCACTTCAATTCCCATTGAAGTTTTTAAACTTGTTATTTATTACTTATATATACATTTGAGACGGACAATAGAATGTAATCGAATATAAATATTGCACTAACTGTACGTCGTAGATTTTGACAAATTACGCTAGGTGTAAATCGGCTTGAAAAGCGGTTACGCTTCAAATTCATCAGGCAAAAGATTCTGTTTTGAAGGGAATATTCTGTGAAAGGCTACTTGTGATCAATTATAGTGAGCATATTGGTGTCTGGGAATTTTTGTATTCATGAGAACCCATATTCGATGTTAAAAAACACAAGAAACACGTCCGATGTTTGATAATAAAAAGTTGGAGGAATTTCGGTCGGAAAGGGATGGATGGAGACACTTGTCCGGACCAGATAACTTGAAATCAAGTACAAAATTTGATCAAAAACATAAAATCTACGATTTTAGTAAGGCATATTTATTAATTTATGATGTTGACGTGGAGACACTGGCGACAGCTAGCAGCTTACATTGTTAAGACAACGTCACAACGATCTCGATGATGGAGGTGTGCCTACCGAACTTCCAAAGTGCAGTGTTTGTCAGCTGTTTGTGGCGTGATTGCATTACATTGATATTTTTCAACAGATTTTCAAATTTATTGTGAGTAAAGTTTAATGAAAAAAAATTATAGCATTCAGAGGTCTGCGAGAAAAATAAGGGTAAACGTTGAGACTATGCAGCTCAGACGTGGAACTTATAACATGTAGTTTTCTATTCTCTATGTAAAACCGATCAAAAACTGTATTAAATACTCGTTTACATTGTAAATAAAATGATTATTATTTTACTTGCGTATTTTGTACATTTTTATGC